GGGTTAGGGTTAGGGTTAGGGTTAGGGTTAGGGTTGGGGTTAGGGTTAGGGTTAGAGTTAGAGTTAGGGTTGGGGTTAGGGTTAGGATTAAGGTTGGGTTAGGGTTAGGGTTAGGGTTATCATGAGGGTTTGGGTTAGGGTAAGGATTAACTTGTCATTCATTAATATATTCCAATAAACTTCTTTTCAAGGTCAGTTAACACAAGTCCAGCTGTAAATGTGATGGAGTGAAGTCAACGAAGTTTTCAGTAACTGTTCACGTTATCCTGTTATAGAAAATTAAAAGAAAATTAACTAGTTTACAAAACAACTATCACTTTTATTTTAAAACACCGTTTTTCATATTTTGATAAAGTTAGTTACAGCATTGGTGTCTATTTAATCTTTTCAGGAATTAATGAACAATAGGTGGATTATGCAGCACTGTTATTAATGTTAATAGGCTAGAACTAATTATTACCCATGGCAACATATGTGGTATACCTTGCAGCTGCCGTAAGTTCATTTTAATACAGTATGTCATATATAGGCCTTTATATAAACATAGTATCACGTTTTTTATAATTAATATTTTAAATAACGATCCATGTCTTGGATCACGGTGACCAAACAACGTTGAGCCAACGACCAATAGCAATTGCGACGTATCGCCATACTTACTCTCGGTCGCAATTTGCGATGCTTTCGAATAATGGAGTCCTGGCCAGTTTTATGGTCGCATAAGGGTCGCCTTCCAATGTACATGTGAGTTTAAGAATTCAATAAGCAAATACGGAGGGCCTACATCTTCCGTAGCATTTTATTTACGACTCCAGCCGCAGGGTTGCAATAGTCTAGAGACGAGCACTATCACTGTAATAATCACCGACATGAGAAGCTTACGCACACTTTACATGGATGGAATTCCTATTAACTTTGCTTTCAGATCAGTCACATCTTTTTGGCCAAACAAAGATAACAACGATACGTGTGCTATATGTGTGTTATAAGTTTATCTCTCCCATTCCGACTTAACTGCTTGACTTGTTGATATTGTGAAAAAGAAAATCATTGAGTAAAACGTTCATTAAATTGGCATTTGAATATTAATATTCATCAAGCAATTTTTTTCTCACTGTTGCTGCCAAATTGGACGAATGCCTTCAGTGGACTGATGTGAGTAAAATGCTGTTACTTCCCGACTGCTAGGACTACAAAGAATAAAAAATTGTGAATCTCTCAGAGCATACCGGTGAAACTGAGGAGTAACGCTTAATTTCCTTTGTTTAATTCGACTCAGCAATTGAACATCTCTCCATATTTTAACACCCATTGTATTACTGGTGTATGATTTTGTCTGTAAGCCGACAAATTAATGGTCAAGTATCAGTTTATTTCTCAAGTAATTGAAAATTAGCTGATGAAACTGTCGGATATTCTCAAGATTACTAATACTGCTACTACTACTACTACTACTGCTACTGCTACTGCTACTGCTAATAATAATAATAATAATAATAAAAATAATAATAATAAAATTATTATTATTATTATTATTATAAATTCATTTTAAGTGTAAAATGTTTAGTAGAACAACATATAAAGATGTAAGTGCTGGTAACAGGCACAATTATCAAGATATATAAAATCGGAAGTATTGTAAGATTGTGATTCGAGATATAAAGAAGCCTAATTTTCATATAAAACCAATTGCAAGTAAGATGGAATCAGTTATGATACTTTTCGAGTAGAAATGCTTAAATGACACATCATATCGTGTCTTTTGTCTACTGTTTAAAACAGTAAACGTCAGCACGCCCTGTTTTTGCAATGAGCGTCTGTTTACACCAACTATTAGTTCCGCTATGGATACCGGCATAAGACAAACAACCTGGGCGGGCCTTGTGGATGGGATATCCTGCATCTCCGTCAGCTAGCCAGCCACAGGCGCACACGTCAAGACCGTCGTTCCATGCTGCTGTTAACTGCGCATGCGTAGCGATAGCAGCGCCATATTTTGCGCAGAGCTGCTTCGCGTCCTCAAACGTCAACTGGTAGCCTCCGCTTGGCGACTGTGCATGAAAGACTCCAGCTGGAATAATGACAATGTAATGAAATTAATTATTCCTCACGAAGTGCAGTGTCTAACTTGGGGGAGAGGGTCGGGAGGGGGGGTTCTGAAATTGTTACTTATTCAGATTTTGACCACTACATGTAATACCTGAATCATAGTTCTAAACTGTACCAAATTGCATCGTTTGCCCCCCAAAACGCTAAACGTTATAGGGACCCTTCAGCGAACTCCGAATCCCATGTCAAGTGGGCGATTGTCAGCCTCGCATCCGAGGCCTGTCATTCCTAAAAACGCCCCACCCCTACAAATAAACCTGGATCCACGACGAGGTGAACTGTCATACTGATATCCTGCTTTAACTGAATCAATTTTGTATTTAATACAATAAAATAGGCAAACATTTAAAACAATAATACAGTTCTGATAAAAATTCCGGTCTACACAACTTTTTTACCTCTCCAATTCTCTCTCTCTCTCTCTCTCTCTCTCTCTCTCTCTCTCGAAAACATCTGTTAAGATATGGTCTGTGAGTCACATCTACTGTGTTACCTCTCGTGCAATGAGTCGGGTCTCTCTTCAAACTCTCCAGAAGCTTCTTCTCATCGTCCAGCTTTTGAATCTGGGCTGCCAGGAGCTTGCCTTGATCTGTGACCAAACCGGTGAGGGTTTTGATGTAGGTTTCCTGTCTCCCCAGCAGTTGCCTGTCACCGACCACGCCGTACGCCATCGACTGGAACTCTTGCTCAATTCTCGCCAAGGAAGCGTTGTGATACGCCAGGGTTTCTAACACCTGGTTCTGTTTTATGCCGAGCTCTGCGATCTGGGTGGACATCTTCTTCTGCTCATCCCTCATGGCAGATTGTCGATTTTCCTGAGCGGAGAGCTGGGATACGACCGTGATAACCTGCTGGGACACCTCTGCAAGGGTGCCTTCCAGCGACTGGAGCAGATCTCGCAGTTGGGCGTTTTGGTCGCAAAGGTTACAGCTTTTACCAGTGGTTGTTCTAAAAAGTTATGATAATGTATTCAGCTAATACATACATCTATATGTAAAATGTACATCAGGAATTGGATTCTTTCCGAGCTCTTAATAGTGCTATAAAAAGAGAAATAATAATAATAATAATAATAATAATCATAAACTTTGAGATGTGAAAATAAAACAATTAAGAAAGTAGTGTATAACAAGATAATTAAAATTTAGAGCTTAAAACGAGAGACAGCTGAAGGATAACTTTTTTAAATACCTGGGAAATGGCGACGTTGTCTGCCCGGTTACGATGGTGATAAGAACACATACAGCCAGCAATATCTTCATCGTGATGTTTATATACTGTCCTGTTTTGTTCTTGATGTGATATCAAAGTTTTTATATTACAATGAACAGTGATTTATATACCGTAACTGAAGACAAAACACGTCCAAATTAAACGAGTCTTATGATGATCTCAAATGACAGGGTCCGGTGTTCTCAAGTTAATTTGATGAACCAGGTTATCGGAATACATAATACTCTATGGCAGAACTGATAAATTGGACAGTTAATGATTAATAAGCCTTTGATAACTACTTAGGTTCAAGATTTCTAAGCATCAGAAAGGGGCGGACGGGTGACTGTACACATGAATTGGCCTAATTGATCTGAAATAATTACCAGGAGGTCCTTTAAAGTTTTGCTAAATGCTATACCCAAAACAGTCGTCCTGTGGATATGTGCTTAATTTGATCTTTTCCCAGTCTTGGTTTAGTCTCAAATAGCAGTCATGCATGCAACTTATTTTATATATATATACCGGACTTACATCTAGGTATTATGTAACTTATGTTAATCAATATAAGTAAATGATTATTGGTTATTGATAAATATTTCACCTCATCCACTACAAATAACCCACGTGTATCTGATATGAACGGTATTATCGATGCCCCGTCACAACTGCAAATATTTGTCTAGTTTTGAACTGAGAATTTTTACCATTTTAAATGTTAAAATATTGACCATTGCAGTTTAAATTTTCTGCTCTGATAAATATCTATTTTGGTCATAGAAGGCCTATTTTGTGGTTAATTTGTATAACATTAACAAATCGTGCTGCGAAATCGGAACAAAATCATAACATTAGCTGAGAAAGAAACGGCATTCAGTACATGATAACACTCAAAAGTTCATGAAGGAGAATTATTCGTAAGTTGTGTTCAAAATTCAAACTAGTTAACGCAGCATATAATGACAAAAGGCGTTGAATTAAATTTTCTTAAATGAATGGAAAGCGGTCTAGAGACGATGATCAGCAGTGAAAAAGTACCCTTAATGAATAAAAGGACGGAATGCAGTTGTTGAGACACTCCATTGCGCTCGTGTCTCAACTGCGCCAACGGTGCGCGACGCGCTCTCGGAGTCTTACGGAGAGCACGACGAAGGAAAATTTCATTCCATGGTGATCCTAAAGTAATTAGACAGTTGAGGAGATACGTCATTTTGAGAAAGGTAGGCAAATTGGGCTGAAAATTCTTGACTTCGGTTAATAGCCCATGAAGGCGCTGCGGCTATAAGCGGCCATCCGTCCTCACTGTTATTGTCTTAGTTGCAATGTACATAGAGAGCATATATAAATATCATTTTACAAAATATAAACAACGCTTACGGATGGTTATAAATATAAATATTTAATTATACTTCAGTTGTTCGATCTTTAAAATTGGTACACATAACGGTTTTACGATAATAATTATAACAAATTAAGCTAACAAATACATTGTATC